ATTGCAGATAGAGTTTTTGTTTACCCCTCACCCAGTTTTTCCTTATTAATATCTTCCTTTAGTATTGTGCAGTTTTTTAAATTAATGTACCAATACCAACATATATGTTAATAGCAGAATTTCATACTTCAGATTTCTTTATTTTTAACCTAATGTTCTTTCTGTGCCAGGATTCTGTACATGTAAGATACCACATTTATAACTATGTCTCCTTAGGCAGCTTTTGTCTGTGATGGTTTCTCAGACTGTCTCCATTTCTAATGACCTACAGTTTTAAGTAAGGAATTTAGCAGAATGTCCCTTAAATGGAAGATATTTATGTTTTGCTCATGATTAAACTGGGACTACATTTTGGGGAGGATGAAAGAGTACTTCAACATTTTTGTTACATCATATCAAAGGTATATACTGTCAACATGACTCGAGAGTTGACCTTGATCTTGTAGTTACCGTATTCTTTGTGAGAAAGTCACTAAATGTATCTTATATTTTAGGAATTGAGGAATTACTTTTTTTTTTTTTTGTCATTTGTATGACTTGAATTTAGCCTGGGTGCTGTCCCTGAGCTTTTCTGCTCAAGACTAGTGCTCTACACTTTGAGCTACAGCACCACTTCTGGTGGTTGATTTGGAGATAAGAATTTTGTGGATATTCCTGTTCCAGCAGGCTTTGAATCTCAATCCTCAGATTTCAACCTTCTGAATAGCTAGGATTAAAGGTGTGAGCCACCAGCACCAGCACCTGGCAATTACTTTCTTGATAGCAGACTGAATACATAAATTATTTAGAGGTCTTCTTGGTGAATACTTATTTCTTTTCTTCAGTTTATTCAGTAACTTTCTTATGTTGGTATAGGCTCATAAGTGTTTAGTTTCTACTTCAGGTTATAATCCAATACTACTACATTTTGTTGCTCACATTGTTCTAGCTTTGGTCATTTGGACCTTCTTTCTATTGACTCCTACTTAGCATATTCTTTATATGTATATATATATATGTATATATATATATGTATATATATTATTGTAAAGCCACTATACAGAGAGGTTACAGTTACATGAGTAAGATAATGGGTACACTTCCTATCAAGCATTGTTGCCCCCTCCTTTGTTTTCCCTCTCCTCCCCACTTCCCCAACTCCTCCCTCCCCGCCCCAAGTTGTAAAGTTCATTTTCAATATGGTGTCTTGTACATCTCATTGTTACAATGGGTCAACCTGTATCCTTATTTCAGCATTTTGTTATTTCCCTTCCCCTCCCCAAATTAGAAAAATGTGTATACAAAATGCAGGGTCCTGGAATCAAATGTAGTGATAACAGGGCTTATACCATGTGGGAAGAACATACAAAAGAAACAAAAAAAATCACATAGTACATTAAAAACAACAGCGACAAAGATAAAACCTCTTGTGTCCCTATCTTAGGGTTCATTTCCCTTGGCATCATCTTATATGGTCATATGTACATAGCTTTTGACCTTTTCTGCTTGTCTGGTAAGATTATCTTAGATGTATACAAGTTATTACAAATAAGGGAAACCCTGGGACCTATGTTTCTTTGGGTCTGGCTTACTTCAATTAATATAATTTTTTCCTAGTCTTTCCATTTCCTAACAAATGGGGCAGTGTATTCTTTCTGATGGAGGCATAGAATTCCATTGTGTGTGTGTGTGTGTGTGTGTGTGTGTGTGTGTGAACACCACATTTTCTTGATCCATTCATCTAACAAATGGGGCAGTGTAATTCTTTTTGATGGAGGCATAGAATTCCATTGTGTGTGTGTGTGTGTGTGTTTGAACACATTTTCTTGATCCATTCATCTACTGAGGGCCATCTGGGTTGGTTCCATATCTTAGCTATGGTAAATAATGCTGCGATACACATAGTAAACATAGTTGTGCTGGGAGCTTTAGTAAGGCCTTGTTTTGGTAAATGCCCAAAAGTGGGGTTGCTGGGTCATAGGGGAGCTCTATGTGGAGTCTTTTGAGGAACCTCCATGCTACTTTCCAAAGTGGTTGAGCAAGTTTACACTCCCACCAACAATTCAGTAGGATTCCCTTCTGTCCATATCCCCACTAGCATCTGTTGTTATTAGAGTTCTTGATTATAGCCATTCTAACTGGGGTGAGGTGGAATCTCAATGTTGTTTTGATTTGCATTTCTGTTACGGCTAGAGAAGTTGAGCATTTCTTCATGTGTCTATTGGCCATTCTTATTTCCTCTTCAGAGAAGTCTCTTTTTAAGTCTTTGGCCCACTTATTGGGCTAAAGACTTACTGTTTCTTTGAGGATTTGTTGTTGGGGGATTTAATTTTTTGAGTTCCAGGTATATTTTAGATATGAGACCCTTGTCCGTTGTATGGCTAGTGAAGATCTTCTCCCAATCTGTGGGCTTTCTATTGATCTTGCTAGCTATGTCCTTTGCCATGCAGAAGCTCTGCAGTTTCATTCAGTCCCATTTGTCCAACCTTTCTTTGACTTGTTGTGTTTATTAAGATAATTTTGGCCTGTGCCCAGGAGAATGTAGGGTTTCTCCTATTCCTTCTTGTAATGTTTTCAGGATGTCTGCTTTTACTTCAAGGTCTTTGATACATTTGGAGTTGATTCTGGTACAGGGTGATATATAAGGATCTAACTTTAGTTTTCTACAGGTATTTAACCAATTTTGCCAGCACCATTTACTGAAAAGACTGTCTTCTATTCAATTTTCTTAGTCCCCTTATCAAAGATTACGTGGCTATAAATCTGTGGGTTCATTTCTGGATCTTCAGTTCTATTTCATTGGTCCTGGGTTCTGTTCTTGTGCCATTACCAAGCTGTTTTGATGACTGTGGCTTTGTAGTAGAGTTTGAAATTTGGCGTTGATATTCCTCCAGCACTGTTCTTTTTGTTAAGGATTGTTTTTGCTATTTGGGATCTTTTATTGGTTCATATGAATTTTTGGGTTGCTTCTTCTATTTCCTTGAAGAATGAGGTTGGGATATTGATAGGTATTGCATTAAACTTGTAGATAGCCTTGGCAGTATTGCCATTTTCACAATCATATTCTTAACAGACTTTTGGGTTATGCCTTTTTTTTTTCTGGCATTATAAGATGCCCTGGTCCCAATCTTTGTATTCTTTGTTCCAGTTTTAGAATCAGCCACTTGTCTAGTTCCTTTCACTGAAGTATGGTCCTAGAATCTAAGATCTGGGTGGTACATGTGCTCATTTCAACTGGAGTGTTGCTGCTTTTAGGTGATACAGCAAGGAAATACATGTAAATGTACTAACTATGTATATACACATATAAATATTTATTCATATAATGTTCCGTATCTATATTTTGCCAAACTTGAGTTCATACAGATATCACCAAATTTAATACATTATGACCTGAACCATTCTGGTCTCTTTCTGCTTCTCTAGAAACTCTTTTTCTGTCAGAGACCTGGATCCCATACCCTTCTATATATTGGTTGTTCTTACTAATCTGTCTGTCTGTCTGTCTATATTTGGTTGTTCATAATGTATTTGGTTGTTCATACCATCTATATCTTTGGTTGTTCATACTAATACATAACATATATCCAATTTCTTTTGTCTTTTAATTTTCACACATTTCAGTAGTCTCCCTTTCCTGCTTTAGTCATACATTTGTATGAGTCAGTAATTACAGAATTACCTGTAGATTTGTATGTGGATTTTGTATGTAGATTGTACTGCACAACTATCTTAGCTTTATCTTTGTGGGAGGGGGGAGGAGGAGATTTAGTTTTTGGTTTATTTTGGTATTTTTTGTTGTTGTTTTTTTCCCCAGGGGGCAGGGTTGTGGGAGAGTACTAAGGTTTAAATCCAGTGTCTTTTGCATGTTAGGCAGGTGTTTTACCACTGACTCAGGTCTCTGGCCCTTACCTATCTTGTCTTTTTATGGCTCTGTTTCTTGGGACAGAATAACTTCTTGCCATTTGCCTATCCATTTCCCTAGAGATCCTTTTAAACTATTGATTCCTGGTCATATCATTACCACAAAATAGATGATACAGAATTTTGACTTGGTGGAAAATAGTCCCCTAGTGATCTTTTCCATGCCTTTATGATCTTTTCAAATAATCTACCAGTGAAAATAAATCACTACATAGAGTTGAATATTTCTATTTTGTGATTTCTAATAGTACAGCAAAAATAGGTTGGCCAGGTTATTGTAATTACTTTGTTACATTAAATCAATATTAACTATATTATATAATTAAAATGTTATATTTATAACTTCAAATCTGCTAAAATTCTATACTATTCATATTTTTCTCTTTAACTGCACCATCAAGGAAGCAGTATGTTATTTGTTTTGGTTTAAAGATTGCACCCAAAGCTTCACTTCACACATGCTAAAAATATGAGCTCTTCCACTAAGACATTCCCCAACAAGCAATGTGTTTGTGTATATTTCTCTTTCTCAAGAGACAAAGAGAATATATTTATGTGTATTTCTTTTTCTCAAGAGAGAAAGTAGGTAAATGGGAAAGAGGAAGAGAGGGAGAAAATGAGGAGTGGGTAATTTTTTAAAATTCCATGTAGTTCAAGTTGGCCTTGAATTGTTGATTCTCTTGCCTCCTGAGTACTAAGACTATACGAATATATCACTGTACCTGACTACGATGTATTTTAAAATATAAAATGGTCAAGGTGATGTACAGGGGGATTATAGTTACATAAATAAGGTAATAAGTACATTTCTTGTCAAACTTTCCCTCCCTTCCAATCCTCCCCCACGAGTTGTACAGATTGTTTCTAACATATTGTCTTGTGTATATTGCTGTTGCATTGGTTCCTAACTTGTCCTTTGTCTTACCATTCTGTTGTTTCCCTTCCCTTCCTTAATTCAGATAAACATATATACAAAAAAGCATTATAAATGATATACCTCAAAAATATAAAATGGTATTAACTTTAAAGTAAAATGTTGTACTAAAATCAAACATGTTTCTGTCCGTCAGTGATAATCTCTTATCTTTGCTTCACAGCATTCATTCAATCGGAGAGCATAATAGAGGTCCTGCGTTTTGATGATGGAGGGCTACTACAGGTAATTTTCTTGTAAAGTTGAAGACATTTCAATGTTAAACCTTGAGTAATATCTTACTATATTTTATTTTAAAGTAACTGGTTTTTCTGAAATACATTTTTTAAACTTTGTAGAATTATTAATGATATACAAATCTCATTAAGTGAATTACCTTTCAGATTAAAGATTTCTTAATAAAGAAAATTTATTGTATTAAAGCCTTGTAAGAAGATTATTGATTCTGTGGTTCTGAGGATGTAGAGATGAAGTCAAGTAGGAAGCCAGTGAAGAAAACACTAAATTCACATGTTGGTTCTCAAAATGTTTATCTGGAAGAGAACTCCTCTAGAATGTATAATAAGTTTTATAGATTTCACCTCTGTACTCTTTCTACTTGCAATCTTGTGCTCCATCTTTAAATATGTTACGCATAAAATTAACAAGCATAATCTAATGGTATTTTGTCAGACTTAGTTTAGATAACAGCATGAAACTTACTTCAATCTTCTTAATTAAAAATTAAAAGAATTTAATAGCTGAAAGAGACAGTGAAAGCCATCTTCACTAACACTCTGATTGTTGGATAGGGTAGAGTGAGGATTGAAACATTGTGTTTTATACACACACACACATACATACATACACCCCCCCACACATACACACATACATACATACATGCATGCATACATACATACATACATACATACATAGCCAGGCTGGCCTCAAACTAACAATCCTCCTCCTCTCTCAGTCTCTCAAATGTTGAGATTATAACTGTGTACCATGATATCTGGATCAACCCTCTGATTTTTATTGTTAGGTGTTTCCTCCTTTCTTTCAAACATTTATGATATATGGTTAACATTATTGATTACCAAGGATGACAGTATCTTGTAAATACTGTGCTGTCTGGTAACATAATATTTTATGACAATATTTTATTTTGTATCTAAGGGAAATCAAGGTTTAGGTTAGGGAAGTACCCAAAATCCCATGACTTTGTGGAATGGGATTTGCACTGGAATCATTGTGTTCTCACTCCAAGTACATTTGTTTCTTTTGTTGTTGTCGGTATTGTATTTTTTACGTAGTTGTGACTGAATGACTAATAATTCAAAAGAGATTTCCTACAGCTTATAATAAGGGCAAAAAAGTAAAAAAATAGATCAAGACAATATAGAAAATAGTTACTACTAAGGACCTAGAATGAGATTTCTGTTTGCATTTTAGTGTAACTTCAGGTTTAGATTTTACATTCTAAGCCAAATAGTGGGGAGGAAAGGTGATGGGATTTCAAACTCTTTTTCTCTAGTAATGAAACTAGTTTGCCTTCTGGATGAAACCGCTTCTAAATTTTAAAATAACTGTATCATTCATATCTTTTATAAGAGATGTTCATAAACATAACAGGCAGGAGTTACATGCTACCTACAGAAAGTTTCTACAAGGCATTTATACTTTAACCAAATAAAAATGAAATGTGACATAGTAAACTCAATATTTTTATAGCCTTCCTACTAGAAAATGACCTTCGTCTCCTTTTTCCCTAGTTCTCTAATCTGTTTCAAGGTGAGACCTAGAGAATCTATAGAATGAAGGTTTCACTCTCTTTATCCTGCAATTTCAGGATCTTGAGGGCAGGTAAATCAAGAGTGATATTTTGGAAAATTCCTTCTGTTTTTGTTGTTGTTGTTGTTGTTGTTTTGGGTTCTTTTGCCAGTCCCGGGGCTTGAACTCCCACCTGGGTGCTACCCCTGGGCTCCTTTTTGCTCAAGGCCAGCTTTAGAACAAGCTTTTTCTGTGATTAATTGGAGATAAGTCTTATGGACTTTCCTGCCTGGGCTTGCTTTGAGCCACAATCCTCCCATCTCAGCCTCGGGAGTAGCTGGGATTACACGTGTGAGCCACCAGCACCTGGCTGAAAATTCCCTAAGTATGGTTTGTTCTTTATGGATTGAGGGAGTGTCTTTGTCCTTTAAGAACAAGATAACTAGATTTTAAATTGGTAATCCACCAAGTCTATTTTGAAAATTCTGGAGTGTGACTCACATTTTTGCTGAAGTTTACCAGTCCCATCCAGAGGGAGTTGGCTATGGAAGAACATGTGTACGGGAATATGTTTTCCTTATGTTCTTTTTTTGGGGGGGTCCAGTCGTGGGGCTTGAGCTCTGGGCCTGGGCACTGTCCCTCAGCTCTTCAGCTCAAGGCTAGTGCGCTACCACTTGAGCCATAGCACCACTTACGGCTTTTTTTTCTGCTTATGTGGTGCTGAGGAATCGAACCCAGGGCCTTATGCATGCAAGGAAAGCGCTCTACCACTGAGCCACCTTCCCAACCCCTTGCTTATGTTCTTTGGACCATCTCAAATGCTCAGACTAGGGTTTGGTTGAGAGTTCAGAATTTTATGGCAAGAGTAGAGTTTTAGACTGAGGAAGTGTTAAAGGCAGGTGGTATCAGTTGGTTTATGTAAAACTGCTAAATATCTAATGTTGAAGTGCTACTTTAAGAGTATAGTTTGGACCTCCAAAATAGCTGTATGTGAGAAGCATTATTTCATTGAATCAATTGCTTATTTCAATATTAAAGAATGTTTTCCAGAAACAATAGTTTTGTTTTTTTTAATATAATGGTATTCTTTTTTAGCATAATTTATCAATGGATTTGACTATTTCTCAAGCAGTTCATGGTTTTATGTGGTATATTTAGAGTGGAAGAATGTAATGTAGCATTTCTCAGGAAGTTTTCTCAAAGCAGGAGAGAGTAAAAGCAACGACCTTCTCTTGGAGTTTTGAAAATACGAATTTTATCTAATGGTGTTCCTTGCCAGATCTTGAATTCATATTAACTTTGTGTAGCTTGGTTCATAGTAAATTTTTCTGATTTCAAGATTATTTGATTAGAAGCCAGTAAAAATCATCAGACTCTTAAAAAAGTGGCTAAAATATTATTCTTAGAGATGAATACAATTAGAGTTATAGAAATTAAATAATTTGAATAATATTTAGTTGCTAGAGCAGGAATGCAATACCAATAAGTCCCCACACCTAGTTTCAGGACTCTGTCCATAAAATGAAGCATATGTGGTTTACTCAGATGCATCCATGGGTTATCATTTGTTAGGATTAGAAGTCATGATCTTATTAGTACTTCAGTTATTGTCATTCCTGGTTGGCTTATAGAATATATTTTTTTAAAAAGCCGAGTGCTGTAGCTACTCAGGATGCTGAGATCTGAGGATCATGGTTCAGAGCCAGCCTCGGCATGAAAGTCTGTGAGACTCTTATCTCAAATAAGCTACTCAGGAAACCGGAAGTGGCACTGTGGCTCAAGAGGTAGAGCACTTGCCTTGAGCTGAATTGCTGAGGGACAGTGCCCAGGCCCAGAGTTCAAGTCCTACAACTGACAAAAAAAAAGAATATATTTTAAAAAATCAAATGATTCCTAAAATAGATAAGGATCCAGGGAAATATGCATTTCAGGGATCTACAGTAAGATTTGCCATGACAGGATGCTTTGGGCAAATATTTTCTTAGCCATTATTCAGTCCTAACTGGTCAGAATGATTCCTTCCTGACCTGTTCTTTGTAAGATTATAAAATGAGATTTTATAAAATTTTAATTAAAAATTTCTACCACGAAGTGGAATTCTCTTACAAAAGATACTCTTATTTATAAGCATTTTCATTTATGAGCATTCATCTCCTTATAGAGAGATGCTTATAAACATTAAACTGCTTCTGAATCTAGCTTTCTACAAACAGATGGAGATGCATATAGGAAAAAAGGGTAGATAACTGTATTTTTGTCACTATCCTACCAGAGTAGTAAACAGAATTCTAAAATGTTGGAAACAAGCTCCATCATATTAATGAATGGAGATTACTTGTAATTTTGTCTTTAAAAACTATAGGAAAATATATTTTGTAAATTGAATTTTAACTACCTAAAGACTCTATATTGAGTCTTCTCTTAAAGAGTATAAGAGAATCTAAAACTATGGTTAACTTATTATTTCTTTAAAGAGTTTATTGTAAAATATATTTACTATATAATATATAAAATCTATTTTTGTTTTTTTTGTATAGCAAGTACCTATTGTAAGTACCACCTGGTTTAAATATTAAAGAAAGCCAGCACCTTCAGAAGCTCCTACTCAGCTTTTTTCTCAGTATATGAGCCCAAAAGTTAGCCATTCCCTATATTTCATGATAATTTCCTTTTCCTATAGTATTACCATCTAAGCTTATACTTCTAAATACCATAGTTTCATCCATGACTTGAAGGATATACAGTTCGTACTTAGTGGGGAGAAGAAGTCTTCTTTTCCTCCTTATTAATGTTTCTAAAATTCTCTGCCTAACTTACTCAGTTTCATTGCAGAATTATACTGCATTGTATAGATATACCCAATTTATGGGTCATTTCTGCTGCTTGTGGAATTTTGGTTGTTTCTAGTCTTAGACTATTATGAATAATGCTGACTTTTGTTATCTCTTGGTGAATATGGACATTTCTTCTGAAGTAAGCTTCAATTACTGTGTAATAGAATATGTATATCTTCCATTTTAATAGATAACACTGTAGTTTCCAGAGAGATGAGTTCGGCTTCTAATCCACTTCTAATCCAAGTGTTCCTCTTTTACCACTTTAAAGGGCAAAGATTTGTTTACTGTATTTTACATTATGCATGTTGCTTGCCTCTGTTTTTTATTCCATTTTTTAGTTATATTTTGGGTACCAATGTGGTTTGGACTCAGTGGTTTCAGTTTTACTCTGGTTGTTTTTGAGATAAAGTCTCACTTTCTGTGTAAGCCAGCTTAGACTGTGATCCTTCTATTTTCACTACTCATATTGCTAAGATGATAGCTGAATGCCACCACATCACCCAGCTTCGTTTCTGTTGAGCTAATGTTTCTTGAACTTTTTTGCCCAGACTAACCTGGAACTAAGATCTTTTCAATTTCAGCCTCCTGAGAAGTTACAAGCAGTGAGCTGCTAGTGCCTAGCTATACAAGTTTTTT